TAATATAAATAATATATTTTTATTATTTATCTATATAAGTCAACTGTGAGACTAAAATTTGAAGTTGCCTTGAGACACTATACAACACAGTTCTGTCATGCTTTTGGAATTCATCCCAGTACCAGGTTAGATACTTAGCTGAAGTATTTTGCCCAAAGTTACAGTCATATATCTGGTTCCCTGATGATTAAACTCAAAAGTCATCTCCTTTACATCTTACCTGCCTTACGTGTTCAACATTGAAGAGTTGTATATTTCAGAAAAAAATATTTAATACTGCCAGTGCCAGTGAAGCCAGACATTTCAATTATCCTTCTTTAAAAGTATTTTTCTACTTCTTTGCCTTTTTTTACTCTAGCTTTCCTCACCTTCCATATGAAAGATTTTGTTACTGATACATGGATTGGATTAAATGATATAAATCATGAGATGAAGTTCCTCTGGACAGATGGAACAGGAGTTTACTTTACAAACTGGGCCAAAGGCTTCCCATCAGGACATACAGATTTCTACTCATATGATGGCCAGGTAAATAGCAATCAACGTGTTCACTGAAATTTGATTTTTGATTGCATTTATGTATTTGTTGGGATTTGAGACATGTTACTGCTTGACTTAGTACTTTCTTGCTTTTATGGATGTCAAACATAAATTCAAACAGTGTGAATGGTGTGGAGCCCTTGGGCAGTTGCTGTATCAGCTGGTGACAGGATCTGTGGAGTGCTCATACAAAGACTGTTTTCAGACTTCAGTTCTCTGTGTCCGTGAAGCAGAACACTGCTTCTATGTTCACCTCGTGTTCTCTCACAGGGTTTGGTAAAGAGAACAGTGGGATTTTTGCCTCGTGGCATTTACCCCAACACTGAATGAGCACATCTTCCTAGTCCTCTGATCACAGTTGTGCCTGAACTTCACAGGTTTCTCAGTTGGCATGTAGTTTGCAAGGGGCACTTACAAGCATTCTCCTGAAAGAGCCATGTTTAACGAAGAAGCAAATTCTGTCAGTCACATTTGTGGAAAGGACTTGCTTCTATAAAAATACAGCCATTAAGTTTTTACCAAAAAAAACCCAAAAAAACCCCCAAAACAAAACCAAAACCAAACAACCAACCAAACACACAAAAAAAAACCCCAAAACTGATCTGATGAGTCACAGATTTTCTGTCTGTTTAGATAGTTCCATGCTATGAAATTACAGCACATTATAGTCCTAGCTCTGTTTCTCTTGAATGCCATTTTTAATGAAGAAATCTCATTTTGATGTATAATGTCCTTTCTCCTGTTTTTGAAGTAGTACCTCTGAGCTTCTTATCTCCATGGGAGAAATGAGAAAAAAAAAGATAAAGAATCTTAAAAATTTTACTCCTGAGAGGAACAATATATATTTTTCTCTTTTTATGAAAAGTAGCAGGATTTCTATGAATGCTTCTCTGAAAATTTGTGAAGTCCCTTTTTTCTAAATTTGAGATGTATCTTGAAGTTTACTTGACCTTAGCAAAAAATAAGTTAACGTAGTTAAATGCAGAATACTATGCAACTGTTCAGTTTGAAAGTTTTAAATCTTAATGCATTTCATTCACAAATTGTTTCTTTGTGCATCTCCTCCTGGAGAGCAAAACCAAAGAAGTAAATAGAATATAATGAATACGGATGCTTCATTGCACAAAACCATTTGACCCATGGAGTCTTTTGCATTCATCACCATTTGTCTAACATGTGCTAACATAGGTTCTGGCTACTTTGTCCATGGCCCCAGGAGGGTGACACTGACAGATCAGTGGCTGCTTTTGGGAAGGAACAGTTCTCATTTTTCTGTGTGCAGTATTACAGCTTGCCACAATAAATCTGAAGAGGCTGTTATGTCAGAAATCTTCCATTGCCCATTGAGGGTCCAGGGGTTTTCTGGGGCAAAGTTAATTGGTCATCTCTGTACTAATTGATTTCACTTCTCTTTAATTTTCTGTGGCTTTCCTTCTCTCCATGCTGTATGCCTGTAGATCTGAAAATACCATTATTTCTCTGGTCTGCTTATCCACCCCAGTGCTGCACAAGAGAAAGCAACATTAAGAAGTTTGTCATGTGCAAGAGGAACAGAACCTCCACATAATAAATCTTGTGCTCTTAAATTTTACAAGGATACAAGAGTAAAACTACAGTATTACTTGTGTCTGAAGATGTAAAAGGGAGACAAAATTTTTGTATTTGGTTCTTCGAGCTATTTATAACTGTATTTATATCTTTTTGCCTCCAGGCTGACTGTGTTGTCATGAGAAACAAACCTGTTAAGGAAGCAGGGAAGTGGGCCGATGAGAGTTGTGATAACAGCAGAGGATATATATGCCAAATTAATGCAGGTACTTATATATAATCCAAATTAATGCAGGTACTTAGTTAAAACACCCAAACATTATGGTTCTTCAGGGAATTGCTTAGGTGTATGTTTTTTACTTCACTAGTAATACAGATACATCCAGAAATTGGTTTTCAGGCAGGAACACAAGGGTCATACGTGTCAGAGGTCCAGTTAGAGTCACTACTCTCAGTTAACCCTTCCCAGTAACTGCTGTGTTACCACCTTCCTGAGCTGGAATTTGTAGCTGTTTCTTTGTGCTTAGTATAACTCTTGACATATTTGTTCCATGGTTTTGACTGTCATTTTCTGAATGCATTTGCTTTCAAGACATGTTCTGGAAAATACTGGCTTGTACATGTGGCATGAGCTGTCTGGAGTGTGACCTGTAACTGACCCACTCCATATTCTAGCTAATTTACCTGCAAAGGAAACTAAGAGCAGTGAAAACCTGGATTTAAATATAGGATTGATTTTCTAAGGACTGGTCTGTTGTGGAGTTTTCCTTTTCCCTGGGGGAGAAAACATCCTGGAAAACAACACAGACTCTGCAAAGCATTTCTTTTTATGAAAAAATATCTTATGAAAGAAAATTGTGGCACCTGGGGACATGGTTTAATGGTCATGGTAGTGCTGGGTGGTGGTTGGACTTGATGATCTCAGAGGTCTTTTTCAACCTTAATGATTCTATGAAAGCCTGACCTAATCTAATCTTCATTTCAGTAATGCTGTTCTGGAGGATTATACAGAATGCTCCTTTAGTCTTTCTCAGAGGTTGCTTTAAACAGCTCTTTTCCGTTCTTCAGTTTTGTAATTGATTTTTACTACTGATGCTGTCTTAAAGAATAGTGTCTCTAACCCACGCTGATCAAAAGTCAGGGAATATGAAAGCAAGGGAAAAGGCTTTTTGTTTAATTTTACTTGCAACCACAGTGAAATCACAATCCCCTTCTCAACAAGTGTACAAGACTTTTTTCATCCTTTATTTTACAGATGCCGAGTTTCTGCCTTCTACAAGTTCATCCCCATCCAGCGTTATCCGTTATGGTAACAGTAGTTATGTGTTCGTCCATACCAAAATGAAATGGGAGGATGCACGAAAAAACTGCAAACGTGATCAGTTTGACCTTTCCAGCATCTTAGATCCCTACAGTCATTCATTCCTGTGGCTAAAGTTATTAAAGTATGGGGTGCCCATGTGGATTGGTCTTAACAGTAATGTGGTAAGAACATGATACTGATTAAATATGATGCTGCTTCTTGTATGGACAAATCATAAACTGAAAACTTTTATTATCTCTCTTTAGCTTATTAATTGATATCTTTGTCCTGAGTGCTTTTATGTGCTGTCAGATTTACAGATACAGATTTACAGGAATCCATATTCTTCCATTACTGTGATCAAATTGTATATAGTAAACATGCTTTTCACCCTTTTTCTGTGATGATACACTGTGCGCTTGCAGACAGACATCCTGAAATATCTTTTTGTATGTATAGTGTATTTGAGATAAAATCGATATATTTTAAGATGCACAGTGGAACACATTTATTCTAACTAATGATACCTAATTTTCAGACATAGAATAAGGTGCTGATGCTATGATTCTTTCAATATTTTTGGAATAGTTAGCCAAATAATTAATTGGGTAACCTAATTTAATTTATTTGCCCTTTCTCAGGTCTTTGATGTTTTGTTACTTTCTGGATGTTAAAATACACCACCCTTCTTGGCACAGACACGTCTCACACATTCACTCGATTTGGCTAAATGCGCAAAAGAAATATAAATGACTAATCATAACACACCACTTCCTAAAAATCAAAAGATTCCTCTAATCTAATCAGAAGGATGATTCATTGAGTTCACCAGCTTTGATGGGAAATGATTGTTTTTAAATATACAGTAAGTTAAAATAGTCTGCATTTCTTGAAATTTGGAAGGAAACAGATAGTACAAAAATCAGTCATTAGACTTCCACTTCTACAAATTACTTTAAATGAAATTTTTATTACTTCCAAATTAACAGTTTTGTTCAGTCCAAAATTAATTCAACATCACTTACTCTGCATTTGCTTTGACTGAAAATCTTTTGTTGCACTGCTGTATTTCTCAACAAATTGTGAATCTTGTCACAACATAAATGTAAAAGTTTGAACTATTTATGTTTGTTATTGATTTCTAAAAAAGGTCGCTTTTTTTTTAATGATGAAGGAATGGTTAATGTTTAGAGTTTAGACATTCCTGTTGATTTGGTTTTTTTTCAGACTAATGGGCGTTATGAATGGATTGATAACTGGAGAATGAGGTATACTAAATGGGCTGAAGGGGAGCCCAAGCAGAAAATAGGCTGTGTCTATCTAGACATTGCTGGAACCTGGAAGACAGGATCCTGCAATGAAAGTTACTTCTCTGTTTGCAAAAAACCTGATGGTAAGAACTTGAATCTAACCATTGTCAGAGTTCATTGTGGGGCATGGTCTGCTGATATACACTTAGACACTGTTTTTTATGTCCAGAGCTAAATAGGTGAAATCATTAAAATTTACTTGGATTGAATGGAGCTGCTATAAAACAAGGGCAAACACATATAAAGAAAGAGCTAGTGTGACGGCGGTTGTCAGTCACTTCACATTAACAATGTTAGATACATTTTGTAAAGCGTAGACTGACATTACTCTGCTATTTATTCACATATTGTGTAAGCATGCAAGACCAAAAAACTCTAAGTCAGTGAACATTTGGTAGTAGTCACTTGGGTATGGTGTTGGGGGGGGTTAAGCTTAATGACCAAGCCATAAGGTGTCGCAAGGATGTTTACTTACAGCACCTTTCCAAGTTTTCCTGTTATAACTGCATAACAAACTAAAAGTCAAATAGAAATGTTCAAAGATACTTCTTCAGGCAGCCTTCTCTTATGTTTTTGACCAGAAACTTCTGTTGCTATCATCTGATAATGCCTTCTACATTCCATGATACTAGACCACGTTATTATCCTAATTCAGCAAAGAAGTTAAGTGTGAAAATATGTTTGTGAGTAATGAGTTGTAGTAAGCAGTATAGACCACCAAAGTAGTTTGGTTGTTTTTTTTTTTTTTTTTTTAAGACCTGAGTGAATTTTCAACATTCAGTTAATCTATTAATGATGAAAAAATGTATAAGAAGCTGCTTCTTTAAATTTTGTGCTTTCTTTTTTTTAAACAGTTCAAGCTCCCACCGAGCCCCCTCAGCTTCCAGGGAAGTGCCCTGAATCAGAAGGACACAAGTCTTGGATCCCTTTCCGAGGTCATTGCTACTACATTGAATCTTCATCTTCAAGGAGCTGGGCCCAGGCATCTTTAGAATGTCTTCGACTAGGTAAGTAACCTCCTTAATCAAGAAGCATATCCTTCTGACTTGTTTTTCCTCTCTGTGGAAAGCTGGACACATGTTATGCATTTTTGTGGCTTCAAGGGTGGTCCAAGAGTTGAATAGGACAGTTGCATCCAATTATTGCCTTAATCTGCAAGGAGATGGAAAATAGTTGTCTACCAGTGGCACACACTGTCTTCCATGTGTGTGTGATACCAGGCATTAGAAGAGCTGTGTTTCCTGGAGTGGAGATCACAAAAGTGGAAACAGTCCTTGACCCTGCTTGGAGGTAGTCAGCGTCATCCATAGCAGTCACTAACTCTTATTTTAATGACTTTTTATATCTTTTGTATTCTTGATCTTACTTACCCCTTGAATATTGCAGTATTATGCCACTGGAATGACAGTTACAGCTCTCTAGGCTGCTTAATATATTAGCAAACTAGGGTCATGGTGTTGTTTCATTCTCACAACTTCCTTCTTCAGACAAGTGCTGTAAGATTCATTGTGTTAGGCTTCATATTCTGTAGCATTGGTGGCAATTCAATTTAGCTGTCTAATCTCCCATTAGTTCATGCTGTCAGTGGAACTGGATAAAGATTCATCTTCACTAGAAGTATGTAATGACATTTAGTCAGGTGAATTGCACCCTAAACTCCACTGACTGGGTTGATCAGGTCTCTACTGGTAATAAACCTACCAGTGAAACTCATGTCAAGTGTGGACACCTAGAGCTAGGTAAGTCTAGTCGAAGTTCTAAGTAATCTCACTTTTTCTGCTGGTACTCAGGTTCATTTTTGGGTTCTCATGAGCTACTTTGTTGTCAGCTTCAGTTTGAGAAACTAGTATTTTCAAGGGAAGGTTCAAGTTTCAAGTTTATATTCTTTAAATCTTACTGTATTCTCCACATCAACATTTGCATAACTTTTGGATGAAGATACTTGACAATATACTTTTAAATATAGAAAAGTCTCCCTAGTAGAATACTCTTGCTGTAGCTCAGTCTTTAAGGCTATGACACCTGTTACAGTGTGACCCATTTCCATCCAGTCTTCTGAGTTCTTTTGTCAATGTGAGAGATTATTTATGAAATGCTCTTATTTGTCCCATCCCCCTAGGTGATAACTCAGTCTGAAAGGTACTCTGACTTGTCTCAGTGGGTTTCATGCCTGGACACTAGTGCTCAGGATGTCCTGCAACAGCCTAGATGGGGCTTGAGCTGGATTTCCCACCCTCTGAGTCCATAATATTCATTTTTCCCCTGCCGTTGTACCTCTTTGCTCCTCTGGGCTCCCTCGTAGATAGGCAGTGAAGCTTTTTATCACACAAACTAACAGCAACCAAATGTCTGATACCACTCAGCAGAAGAGGAACGTTAGGAAAAAAAAAAAAAACAAAAACAAAACCAAAACACTGCATTGAAAAAAAGAGGAACATTCCATGTTCTCTTATATTCTGCTGTCCCTGCTTGCACTCTGGGTTTCGTTTGCAGCTGAATGTTTTCCAGTTATGTCTTAACCATAGTAGAATTCTAAACCATAGTAGTATTTGTTAGCAACTCATCAGTGATTCAAACGATTTTTATATTTTCCTTCTCTGAAGCTGTGCCTTACTTACCTAAGAAAAAATACCGTCAAAAATTCAACAACCAGATTGAAACAGTCAAATGCCAAACACAGTTATTGCTCCATAAGTATGGATTAGATTCCAGTCCCACACTAAAGAGAACTGGAGATGCACTTTCTCTGGTGTTTGATGACACTCCATACAAAGTCATGTGGCTCATTCTGTCTGCTGGCTCCCTGGTGTGACTTCTTCACTTTTCCAGAGCATCACACAGAATGAGTTATAGCAGAAGGCCTAGTGTTGTAAGTGAACGGCTAACAGGGTACTACACTAACTGGGCAACAGATGACCAAGACAATCTTTCTTTGATGGCTACAGAGAGAATGTAGTAAAATAAACAAGACCTGGTTAAGGTGTTATACTAGAAATTGTTCATCAGAAAGTCAGTGAAGTCTGTGCTATACATGAGCTATACAGTGGCTTGGAAAACATTTAATCATTAATGTGCAAAGTTGTGCTGTGCACATACTGAAGTTACACATACTTCTAACTAAAAGTATATATATATATATTTTAAAATAGTAACACATCAGTAGAAACTTATGCAAGTTATCATACTGGCCTCACGTATTTTGCCTACAGTTGTTCATTTGTGTTGTTGTTTCCCAGTGAATGGGGAAACAAACAAAATGCTAGTGCAGTGTCCTGGAAATGATACAAAATACATCAGCAAGAATGCTAGAGTTCTTCGTAAGATATTACCCAACGTTAGTTTCTGTTTTGAACTTCAAACTGTGTTTAGAATTTGACACAGATAACCAGTGGCAAGAATAAGACTGACATTTGACAGAACAATGAGAATGCTTTTCACTCTGAAACATGTCTCCAAGAGATTATTTTTTCCTCTGTGTCTTCCAGGTGCCTCTTTGGTATCAGTTGAAGACTCAGCTGAAGCTAACTTTCTGGCACACAGCATTGAACCACTTGAAGGGAAAATATCAACTTTTTGGACAGGAATGTACAGAAATGTTGATGGTAACTTCTTTACTTTTGACATCTTTTTGTTTGGCTACTAATTGTCACAAGCTGTTTGATATAGGCATTGAAAATTTCACATTATACCTCTGTAATATATATAAAAAGTGAAATTAGAAAAGGCAATACATTATCATCATAGAGGAAGCTCATCAGTTGTAATCAAGCAATAGCCAGTAATATATAATACAAAGACCAGGCCCAGAAAGTTCATCTTAAAGGAAGAAAAGTAATTCACAACAAAGTAAGGCACAAAGGTGAATATAGCAGAGCGCAGACAGGACCGTGTCAGAAGTTGAGCCAAAGTCAAATGCTTCTCCAATGTGGGGAGGCTCTGGATTGATATGCTTGTCACTGAGATACTCCAGCTTTTGAGCTAGAGAATAATGTGACTAACACCACCTCTACTCTTTGGAATCACCATCCTGGAATGACCAGTCACCCATCCTTAGTTACAGCTGGCTCTCTGAAGAGCTTCACTTTGAAGCTGGAGTTGTTTGTGACTTTGGAATTGTGCATCACAAGTTTTTCTATTTTCTGCCTCACTGTAAGGGAGGTAAGGTAAGACAGAATGGTAAATAGGCTGCTTTATTTATATCTTAAATTTGCTGGTTGTTACTTCTTCATTTATACAGCTAGTATTGAATTAAAGAGATATTTCTGTATTTACAATAGACCTAAAAGTTACTTCAGTCTTGTGCTGATCAGACTAAAAGTTCCAGCATAACAGTGTCAGAGGCAGGACTGCATAATTATTCAGGTGACCTGAGGTGGAGTTTTTTGAGTTTTGGAGGCTTTTTTTTTTTACAACTGCCTGCTCAACCACTTCAATGACAAACCAGCTGGGGAGAAGGCAAGCATTCAATTACATTATTCAAATCTTAACAAGGAAAAGGGAAAGTTTTCAGTAAAGGAGGAAAAATTTGAAGAGAGTAATAATTTCTAAACACACATATGAAGAGAAGTTAAGATTTACTTATGTGGCTAATTGACACATAAAATGTTTTTTAAAGTGGTTCTAGAGGAGGTGCAGAACAATACGGTTCTTATGGTGATCACAAACACAAGAGCTGGTTCAGTAAGGATATATCATTGTATTACTACATAGTGATTATAGTGATTTCAGTATGACTACATAACTAAATTCTATATGTTTGGAAAAGTGGCAAATGCCATGCCCTGACAGAAAGAGTAGCAGGTATTAAAAAAAAAAAAAATCCAAACCAAAGCAAAAAATCTTGTAAAAAGCCAAAACGTAGCTTTCTTGCTGAGTCTAAGGATTTGGTTGTTTGAGTACAACTTATGAGTCACAAGGGGCATGTTTATCCTAAATAAATACCACTATTAAAAGAAAGGAAGAAAAAAAGGAACAGGAAGGAAAGGACAGAAAGTCCCAGCATAGTTGAACAATAGTGATCACAAGATTTTTGAAGCAGATCTTTAAAAAGGAAAATTGTGCATGTTAGGTCCATGGAAATGAGCAGAAACAGAAAACCAAATGGAATAAAATTTAGACTTCAGTGGGGACATTGAAAAGAGTGGTGCAAAACCTCCCTACAAGTTACTGAAACAAAGGGCACTCTGGTGAAGTTAAAATATGTTTTGACTTCAGCAGTTTCTATAAACTGAATAAAGAATTGACATTGTAGCATTGCAACAAATTGTGGGAGATATACATCTTTAAACTTTCTTGCCTTTCATAGAATCATAGAATCGTAGAATTGTTCTGGTTGGAAAAGACCTTTCAGATCATCAGGTCCAGCCACTAGCCTAACATTACAAAGTCCACCACTAAACCATGTCCCTAAGCACCACATTTACACATTTTACAACCTAAACTTTCCCTGGTGCAACTTAAGGCAAATTCCTCTTGTCATCTCACTTGTTACATGGGAGAAGAGACCAGCACCCACCTCTCTACAATCTCCTTTCAGCCTGCTGTGAGCCTCCTTTTCTGCAAGCTAAAGAACCCCAGTTCCCTTAGCTGTTCCTCTTAAGACTTGTGCTCTAGGTCTTTCACCAGCTTCTTTGCTCTTTGGGCATAGTCCACAACTACAGTGTCTCTGCTGAATTTAGGTACCTAAAACTGAACACAGTACTCAAAGTGCAGCTTTATCACAGCCGAATACAGGGGGATGATCACTTCCCTGGTGCTGCTGGCCACACTACTTCTGATACAAGCCAGGATATTGTTTCCCTTCTGTTTTCCAGAACCTAATATTGTATCATTTACATGAAAACTTAAGGGCAACATGATGTATCAGACCAAAAATCTAAATAGTCTAGTAGCCTGTCTCCAAGGAAGGCAGTAAATATGGAGATGGTGTCAAGATAGAAATGAATACTACCTTGCTTTTTCATATTCCATGTTTTTCCAATTAGGAGAATGGCTGTGGCTAGACAACACTGCTGTGAATTTTGTCAACTGGAATGTAGGAGAACCTTCCCCTCAACAAAACGAGCACTGCGTTGAAATGTACTCAAACTCGGGGTACTGGAATAATATCTACTGCTCTTCCTACAAAGGCTATATTTGTAAAAAGCCAAAAAGTAAGTGCTACATTGATTAATTTGTTTTAAATATAGAGTATGATCTTTGTGTGCCAGTATTAGTAGATGACTGTTACACACAGTGCATTTTAGTTAGGTGTTTTGAGGGTTTATAAATACAAAGGGATGTGTATTTGCATGCCAGTAAAAAGACAGAATAACTATTTTTAGAAAGTAGAAGTTCTGACTAGTGCTCAAGTCCCTTCAGAATTGTTTTAAAATGACTGTGTTCCTATCCTAACTATACCTACTTTATACACTTAATAAGTTTGTGTGTTCTGTATGAATAATTGCTGAGTAATCGCAGTGTTAGTACTGTAACTTGCAGACAAAAATTTGTCACATCTTTTGAAAATTAGGTCCCTTAGGAAATCCCCTCTGCTCAGCGCAGGGGGTGCCTTTTGCTTATTTCCCTCTGGCAGTCTCCCGGGCATGCATTTTCTGAGTACGAAGTAGTGTTTCTATGAATTTAGTATTTATGAATTGTGAATTAATGACTAGTTTTGGAACTTTTGTTTCTGTGTTCTCCTGCTTTGAGAAGATGAATAAATGAAAAGCAAAGAAAATTGCACAGTCTGAATGTTCAAAGCAAGTAGTGGAGTCTGAATGTGTTAATTTGAGAGTCCTGAAATAACTGAATGTGCGAATTTGACAGCAAGAGCATCTATTGCATATGTGTTCCTAAAAGTCATCCTAATAATTTCTTCCAGTATGTATTGCAAATCAAAATCTCTTACTAAGGTTTACTTAGAAGAATGAAATGCAGTGTAGCAGCTGAAATATGCTCACTTCTCTACAAGAGTGGAAATGAGAAATTCTGCTAGCCTTTCTATAAATTTGCTGTCATGCAAAAATATTCTTACTTACTCAGATGTTTGTATTGATGACTGTATCCTCTACAGGAAACACTGCACAACTGTCAGATATAACCATCCATCCAGAGTCTACTTGCCTATCTTTTACATGGTTATTGACAAACAAAAAGGCACTTAATTTTCATTCCCTATCCACAATAGTTGTAGATGTAGGTAACAAGTGTTAACATCAATGGCCACACTTCCTTTTTGACCATTCAGCTCACCTGTTTGTGCTGGTACTGTCAGTCACCTGTTTTGATACTGAGCTGCTTCAAGGAGCTGAAGCAGAATTACTAATTCACAGTAATTTGAAATTGTGTAGCATGTCTACTCCATAAATAATCTAACTTTATTTCATAAGTAAGGAGGTACTCTAAAGAACTGTTCAGCAGTTCAACAGGTGCTAGTATATTATGTTCATGGCATCTCATTAGCAGATTCACATCCCTAAATACACTGTTTGTTTAACATGTAGGTAGGTTTAGCATTCAGTCATCTTCTGCTGAAACCAAACACTGATGTACGTGATATACATGATCAGACCTCTACCAAACTTGGTCAGTCAACAATTTTCGGTGAAGAACAAGGAAAATTTATCTAGGTTATTATATTCCAAAAATTTTCAAGCCAAATGAAACAATGCAGACAAAGGATTATTTTCCAAATTTGCATAATGTAAATTCTTCCCTCTTATTCCTTGTTAGATTTCCGAGACTGTTCTTTACTCTGCGTTTTTGAACATGAGGTAACATTGTCTTCACAGAATCACAGAACAGTTGAGGTTGGAAGAGACATCTGGAGGCCATCTGATCCAACCTTCTGCTCAAGCAGGGCCCCCTAGATCCTGTTGCCTCAGACCATGTCCAGATGGCTTTTGAATATATCCAGAGATATATGTCCAGGAGACTGCCTGGACAGCCCGTGCCAGTGCTCAGTCACCCTCACAGTACAAAAGTGTTTCTTGATGTTCAGAGGGAACCTCCTGTGTTTCAGTCTGTGTCCATTGCTTCTGGTCCTGTCACCAGGCACCAGTGAGAAGAGCCTGTGTCTGTCAACTTTACACTCTCAGATACCTGTCTATATTGATAAAATCCCCTGTAACCTTCTCTTCTAAGCTAAATAGTTTCAGGTCTTTCAGCCTTTCCTAATGTAAAATCTGCTCCAGTCCCTTCATCATCTTAGTGGCCTCTCACTGGACCCCCTCCAGTAGCTCTCTTGTACTGGGGAGTCGAGAACCAGACATGACATATAATGTAGCAAAAACGCAATGCCTGCAGAAACCTCTTCAAAGATGTGCAAATACAGAAAGCTCCCAGTTTTCCCATTAGCCATAGATTTGCATGCTGATTGTAGTTCAGACAATAACAAACTGCTTTTTATTGTGAATAACATTAATAGATAATTTTCTTGATAGAAACTCTTGGAAATATCCAAGTAATCATGCCTATTTTTACTCTGAAGAGCTAAGTTGAGATTGTTGGATTATTCATAAAATCAGGCAATGTAAGTGGAAACTGGTAAAAACAATTTAATTTCCTGGGCTCACCTTTTTCAGAATGAAACATGATGCATTGATTCAAGATTTAATTATAGAATGATTTTATGTCCACATGACAGAATATGGATCTTCATCTTAAATGATGGCCCAGTTTTCCCAGCAAACCAGTTTTCATGGTCCAGATACTACATTTTAAATGATCTACAAACACTTTAGTTGGGATATGATACATGCCAAGACACTTTGGAGTTCATGAGTGATTTCAATTGTTTGTGTAGGTGGGCCATAAAAGTCTCTTGGCACACTGAATTTGTTACACTTGCTATATTTTTATGAGTACTGCAAGAATTTGTAATTATTTTGAGGATTATATTTGATCCTCTCTGTCCTGAAGATGCTGTGCAGATTTTCTTGTGGTTTTACACTGAAGTCAGGATCTGTATCCATGGAGCTCTTTGATGTTTCTTCTTTTCTGCTCGTTTGTGTAAGTAATTATACATGAGACCAGAATACCCTAGGCTGTTGCACTGTGCCTCTTGATAGGTGTATAAAGCTCTGTATGGACTAAACCCAGGCTTTTTTGGTATTTAGTGATATTTATTACCGTATATTTCTCTGAATATGACATTCAATATGTTTCAAACATAGAAATACATAACAGAATAATATAGTAACATAGTTCTTTTTCAATGTTTTGAAATCCCAGTAATTGAAATGCCACCAACATCTGAAATGCCAGCAGCTGAAATGCCTACAAAGGGTAAGAATATTGTCTTTCAAGTAGACAAAAACTAGTCCCATGTAAAATTATAGACAGAACAGATCACATTCTGTATTCTGTCACTTATATTTTCTGATACACATGAGTACCATACCTGTTTTCTAGAAGCATGTTATTTCTTAGTAAAATCCAATATACTCCCTTCAGTGTCCAAATGCAGATTTAAAGACAGAATAATTTGTGATACAGCATGCAACGTTAGCATTTTAAAATCAATTAGTTTTATGTTGCTACCCTTGTCTCTCATTATTTTGTAGAACACTTTTGCTTAAAACATCATGGTTTCTGAATAAATTGTTTCCAGGAATCAGAAAAAGAGTATGTAGCATTCCTCTTGATTTCATTTATTTGTTTTCAGCAATGACAAAGGATGAGAAGGCTCCTGCTCTGAACCACAGTAAAACAGGAATTGTAGTTATTGTTGTCATCGTCATCCTGGTTGGAAGTGGCCTTGCAGCCTATTTCTTCTACAAAAGAAGAAAGAATCGCTTGTCAACGAATGACAGCTTTGAGAACAATTTGTATTTTAACAGTGATGTGGCTCCTGGAACTAGTGACACAAAGGAACTTGTGACCAACATAGAACGGAATGAACATGCGACACTGTAATGTAATAAAATGAAATATAATGTCATATGTAATGTAAAATGTAATGTAATAAAATGTGCCTTGTTTTAATAAAATTATGCAATTAGGATTAAGCCAAAGATATTTTCTCATGTGCAAATACTGTAGTATCCAGTTTCAATGCGTGCACAATTTTATATCCAGCACTTACTTTATTTTGTACTCATTGCATAATGTGTAAGATTTGATGACCCACACAGGTTAGTGTGGGTCTTAAGAAAAGAGATAACATTGGCCAATTATTAAATAAGGCAAGAGAAACAGATGCAATAAAGAAGGTAAACCATAGATAGATCAACTTGAGAAGGCTCCCAAGATTTGAAGTTTCTGCACCAAATTCTCCAAGCTATTCAACAAACACGTCTCTAATTCTACCACCTTTCAAGTATTCCTAGGGACTTAACTACAGGGGTAGATGCTATAGATGACAAGCCTGTATCTAGGCACATACTTTCTGAAGCACATGGGGAAAAAATCCTTTTATGATATTATATAAGTTCTCACAATTCAACACAACACAGAGAACCAAGTATGTAGTTCTTGTAGTGTAGGTATTCAAGGATTTAATCAGATAAAATCTGTTCACAGGTGTCTGGAATGGAAAAAGTGCAGTTGGCATCAGCTGCCAGTGTTCTAGCTGGCCAGAACTGGGTTTGTCTGGGAGAGATGATGAAGGTCATGGTGAAACTTACTTCTTACTAGGACAAGAGTTACTGAGGAGAGGCAGGAACATTACCTCTATGTGTTCTGAAGGTTTAGAGGAGCACTGGATATCTGTTAGGGAGATCACATGTCGATACTTCTTTCTCACAGGCTCTCAATAAGTAGCATAGATTTTTGGGCTGTGTGCCTGAAGCCAAGAATGGTTTAGCTTTACAGTTTACTAGTTACTACTGATTTTATTTCCTTTCTAAAATGGCTAAATCAGTTACCATTTATGGAAATCTTAGTTTCCCCAATGTGGAGTTTATATTCCTAATTTTTTTTAAATCTTGCAAAATGTAAAATCATATATGATTCCTCACTTGCATACAAAGATTTGATTTTGTGCTTTCAGACTTTGTTCTGTGAAATAAACAGTAACTAGCTTTGATTTTTTAAATGGTTTCTCATTTTAGTCTTGTCTATGTAAGACTTTGTAACAGGGTAAAGTTATAAAGGAGATGATACAATTGTGGAGACATTCGATCCAAAATTGTGATCGATTAATATAGTGACCGTATTCTCCTGAATCTGTCCCGGGACTGTCTGCTTAATACCAAGGCAAAAAAGTCTTGGTGAGTGATTTAATAAAAATCTTGAAGTACACACGCACGTAGGTAAGATGGGGAAATATATCCTGGAACTCCTCTAGCTCTGCTCCTTTACTCCCCCTTATCTCCTTGCCTCTGTTCCTATTGCTGTTTCCATTAGTAATGCACGTTTGTTTGAGCATGACTTTTCAAAGAGTAGTACCTCTAATGGTTCTTCATGCCACCAAATATGGCTTATGTGCCAGAAACCTCCTGACTGACTGATTAATGATGTTAAACATGATGTCATTTCAAGTATATGGAGAAGTGGTACCAGCTAGAAAGGTATGTGAAAGGTATGTTCATTTGGGTTTGTTTTTGGTTGTGTTTTTTTTTTTTTTTTTTCTTTTTTCTTTTTTTTAACTTTTTT